GGGGCCAGCCAGTCGAGGAGGCGACCTAGGAGACCGAGCAGGATATGCGCAGTCGTTACCCTCATCTTTTCACTACTTCAGGTATGTCTCTATGCTCATTCGAGGATGAACGAATGTTTAAGTGTAGGGGGATGTGACAACCCGGCCGGTTGTCTTAAGAATTAATGCACCGATCCCCTATTAATTATTTTCGCCAAGTTTATTTCTGCTATTTTGATTTGCCGGGATGTGCGGTTTTGAGTTTCGAAAAGTTTTGGGACACTTAGTCCCTAAATGAGAGCTTAAGTGTTGGAAAGTTGGCTGTAATTGGAACAGTGTGAAGACGGACTCGGAATGGAAATCTGATATTTCCGTTAGCTCCGTTGGGTGATTTCGGGCTTAGGGGCATGTTCGGATTGTGTTTTGGAGGTCCATAGCTAATTTAGGCTTGAAATGCCGAAAGCTGATTTTTTTTAAGTTTCTGGTCTGATGGTGAGATTTTGATCCTAGGGTCGGAATGGAATTCCGGAAGTCGGAGTAGCTCCGTAGTATTGCATGTGATGTGTTGCAAAATTTCAGGTCATTCGGACGAGGTTTGATAGACGTTTTGATCGAAAGCATATTTTGAGAATTTTGGAGTTCTTAGGCTTAAATCCATGGTTAATTCGAGGTTTCGATGTTGTTTTAGGTGTTTTAAGGATTGGTACAAGTTTGGATAGTGGTTTGTGACTTGTTGGTGCCTTTGGTTGAGGTCCTGGAGGCCTCGGGATGAATTTGGATGGTTGACGGAAAGATTTTTGGAGTTAGAGTTGCAGCTTCAGCTACTAGTTCTGTCATAACCGCACCTGCGATTTGGGTTCCGCAAGTGCGGCGTCGCAAAAGCGTCTTAGTGGCCGCAGAAGAGAAATTGAGGGAGGTCAGCAGTTTCCGCAGATGCTGGAGAATTTTCGCAAAAGTGGTACCGCATATGCGAGTTGGAGACCGCAGGTGTGGAAATCGGCCTTTAAGTTCAAATGCGGAAATCGTTGGGCAGAACATATGCATTCTTGCCTTCGCGAAATTTAGCCATTTTTCATCTTTTTCAAAACGGGAAGAAGCTTGGGGAGCACTTTTCAAGAGGGATTATCAGAGGGGTTCATTGGGGTAAGGTCTTTGGTCCCTAAACTCGTTGTTAGAATAATTTTTATCAATTTAAGCATGAAAAATTAAGGAAAATCAGTGGTAATTGTGGGGTTAGGGCTTGTCTAATTGGAGGTCTTTGAATGATGATTTGAGGGACAAATTGAGGTTCGATTTTGGTATTTTTGATATGACTGAACTCGTGAGAGTGCGAGAGTTCTGGAAATGTAAATTTTACCCGATTCCGAGATATGGGCCCGAGGGTCGTTTTGGTCATTTCACATAAATTCGTGTATTAACTTAGAATTTAATTGTAGAATCAGTTACTTAAAGTGTTATTTACATTATGCAATTGAACTGAATAGATTTGGGCCATTTGGAGTCGAGTACTCGTGGCAAGAACGTGCTCTCGGGTTGATTTTGAGCCAGTTCGAGGTAAGTGGCTTGTCTAACCTTGTGTGGGGTATCTTCCCCTTAGGATTGGTATATTTGGTAATTGAAATGCCTTGTACATGAGGTGAGGAGTGCGCACTTGTGCTAATTGTTGGAGATCCAGTTTTCTTTAAGAAATTACTAGTATGTTTCCTTTCTTGTTTCTATTACTTGCACTATTAAGCCTGTTGTTAGCTTAGGAAAGTATGTCTAAGTGACTGAATTGCTTTATTTGTTCAACCTGCCTTACCTGAATTCTGTGCAGCATGCTAGGCTAGAATCATTTGTTGCCTTAATATGAAATTTTGCCATTTCTGTATATTTTCTTGTTGCTGTTGTGTATTTATTTTGGGACTACAGATGTGGGATTCCGGTAGCTCCCCCTTGTCTGTTTATTTTGGGACTACGGATGTGGGATTTCGGTAGATCCCCCTGCACGGTTATATGGAACTACGGGAATACACCCAGTAGATTCCCCCAGTACTGGGTATTTATATTTGGGACTACGAAATGGGATTCCGGTAGATCCCCGTGCACTATGAGTAGGACTACGGGACGAGATCCCGGGAGATCCATTGGATATGTACACATGGGATTACAGGACGGTATCTTGGGAGATCCCCGATCGTTATTATTGGTGCTGAGCTGTAATTCTTTTTTGTGTTTACCTTGTTTCTGTATAGTTGTTGCGGTCCTGTACATCCCGTGTTATTTTACTACTGTACTTATTTATATTGTTCTGTTCTATACTGTTGATCTTTATATTTTATTCAACCTCAGTAGGGCCCTGACCTTCCTCGTCACTACCCAACCGAGGTTAGGCTTAGCACTTACTGAGTACCGCTGTAGTGTACTCATGCCCTTTCTGCGCATGTTTTTCACGTGCAAATCCAGGTACCGCTACTCAGGACTACTATCCTTGAGGGAGGCGACTGCTCTAGAGACTTCGAGGTACATTTTCCGCGTCCGCAAACCGAGGAGTCCCTTTTCTATTCTAGCTGTTAAACATTGCCCTTCTGTATTTTCTTTCTTGTTAGATATTCTGGAGTTAGACTGTTAGATATTCCAAAGGCTTATGTTTCCGTGAGTTTCCGAGTTTTGGGATAGTGTACTTGGTTTTGAGAATGTTGTGTTGTATATGTCGAGCGGCATTATAACTATTGTTTAAATTCAGTTATTTTGGTTTTTGATTATTTCTTCCGCAAGTTTCATTTATGTTACGCATTTGTTAGGCTTACCTAGTCGTAGAGACTAGGTGCTGTCATGATGGTTCATGAAGGGTGAACCGGGGTCATGACAGGTTATTTGTTATCGCCATTTTTAGCCCATGCAGCAACACTATTAGTTCACAGTGTAGTATGTTAGTACAAGTTATTTTTTCCATGAAACCTATTACCCAGCCCCCTATTATTCCTAATAACCACACCCATGCCTCCCACCGGTCCATTTTAAAGGTTTGAACCATCAGTGTTGAGTTTATAGTGGTCCCTTTGAGGTGGTGCCATTTGATATGAATGACCAAATCAGATTTTCCCTAGCATCTTCCTGCTACATAAAGGGATCAACTGCCCTCCACCTAAGTAGGCTACTGAAATTATGGTTGTGCAGACTATTAATGATGCATTCTCACTTGGTTTGGCTATTGGTAAAGGAATGGATATGAATGTCGGTTTGGCTTAATTGTGAAACGTTATCCCAGAAGTGCTTAGTATTTTCACACATGATGAAGATATGCTCAATGAATTCCTCTTTTATGTTGCATAAGAAAAAATAGGGCTCAAAGTTACACCTCTGTGATGAAGGTGCTTACTAGTGGGGAGTCTGCCATGTGTCATAAGCCAAAAAAGTATTTGATCTTATTAGGAACTTTCCTAGTCCATATCCAATTGAACCCTCTTTCCTGCTCATTGGTCTGATGGTATATGTCCCCTAAGATGATTGAATAGGTAGATTTAGTTGTGAATAATCCATTATAGGTTTGGTTCTATGCCATTTGTCACGACCCAAACTGATGGGCCGCGATGAGTGCCCTAGTCCTACCTGTCGAACACCCTTAAGAATACGACTAAGATATAAATATGAATAATATCTGCTGAATTAAGAGAGTAACATGCACGAGGAAAATCTGTCCAAATGACATATATACATATATGCACGGATTATAGTGGGTGAGTCGACAAGGCCACGATAGATAACTATATACCCAAAACTAAAAACCGACAAGGCCACATACTATCCAATTATACATAACTGTCTACAGACCTCTAATAGAAATACAAATGTACAAAGGTGGAACTGAGCCACTTCATACCCATATATCTATATATATAAACATATCGTACCAAAATCAAAAGCAGCTCCGGATCAAGTGGAGCACACCAACTCTCGCTGATCAAGGATCCTAAGAAGGGGGACCGTCGACTTGCCTACCTGCACCTGCAGGCATGAAACGCAGGCCCCAGGAAATAGGGTGTCAGTACGAATAATATACTGAGTATGTAAGGCATGAAATTCACAAAGGACATAGATGAAACATGGAATGGAGAAATCCATTTGTAAGTCTAAATAACCTTATAAATTTTGTAACATTATAATGCCATACACGTTGTGAGCATCTTATTTTTGACCATATTTGAATTTATTCCTACTTTTCTCTACTCACTACCCACTTTCCTCACTTTCTCCACTCACTACCCACTTTCCCCATTTTCCCCAATCATGTTCCCTACTCTCCCCACTTTCCCCACTCATGTTCCCCACTCTCCCCAAAATATTTCCTCCACTCACACCATTCACAACCTTAAGACACCCCTCCCAGCGTCTTCTTCTACACAGACTTGAGGAGACCCTTCCATCTCCTCTCCAAGTCAACAACCATAGCTTTGAGCTTAACCCTCCCTCATTTTTCTTAAGAAACACACGCACACTGGACCAACCAGCAACGGCTCAGTCCAAACTTGCCAGAAGAAGCAGCCATAGCAGAGAACAAAAGACCACTCTTCTAGCGCTAACTCCTTCTTCATCTAACAATTGAAATCAGCGACCATTTCCACCACAGCTAGAGCTTATTACACGAGAGATCTTGCGAGTTTCGAGGTCTGGTCGTAATTCCGTTGAGGTTTCCGGTGAAGTTCTAGTCCTGCAGTTCGAGGATGTCATCTGGTCAGCGTTTTCAGTAATTGTTGCGACTGTAAAAGATCGATCTTCTTTCAGATTATATGTAAGTTCTTGAATTTGTAATCTGTTCGTTTTGATTGGAATTATTTTACATGTTCTGATTAGTTATTTTATTACTGCTTCTTCTTCGGTTTTGTTTTGCTCTACTATTTTGTTTGAATACTTGGTTTGGTATTATTTCACTTGAGGTTGTGCTTAATTCTCCCACGAAGGTGTGATTTTAAAAGTGGTATATGCTTCAGTAGATGAAATTTGAGATATTGAGTAAAGATAAAATTTGAATGTTTCTGTTGGCTTATTCGTGCCTGTGATGAGCAGCAACACTGGAAGGAACTCATATATTGGTATATCCAACATGATGAATTTGATAACGCTCCACTACTGTCATGAATCATTCTCCAGATGCTTGGGATCATATGCAATTCAAAGATATTGTTGTGAAAGCTGCTAATGTGGACTTTGTGAATATATATCGAGTGTTTGAGTTTTTTTTTTTTGTTCTATTTATTTATCATTTTTCGTTCTTTCCTTCTTTTTCTGTTCGAAATTTGCGCAAATTGATTTATGTCATTTTCTGTTTGTCAGTAGTTTAGGAAGAACTTGGCATTTGGTTGAGGCACTGATAGTAGTAATAGTTTTGTTTTGGATACGTTTAATGTGTTGAAGTTATGATCTCTGTTTGTAATTGTTTAGCGGTTGAATCTATTTAATCTGTGGAAGATTTGATCTTTTTGTGATTGTTTGGTGTAAGACAATATCATAGATGAATTCTTTTCTCTTGAGCTTTAGGCATGTTGAATCTATCATGGTGATTTTGTACACGTTCGCGTGACATAATTACGATTCTAAAAACTAACTCGGAGTATGCGTCCGCGCAACTTCGATCAAACCTTCTTAATGATAAAATCATTATTAATAGACCTCTAATTTAATTTAGTTCATATAGCTTGAGGTGTACCATTACTAAATTTTTCATGGCCCTCGCAAAGTTAAAAATGCGTAGTTGCTTTAGGCGCGTCATTTTAATAACTAATTTCCTTAAACTCGGGTGTGCATTTCATGTGACCCAAATCCAAATCCTAACAACGTTAAATAAAATATGTTGTGGATCGTGGGTGCATTTCATGTGGCGTGATCCAAAGGCATGTTTTAAATAATGTTGAATCTTCCTAAAAATAATTAAAAGCGGTTTAGTAAGTTAAAATATACTATAGGTTAAAACATGTATTAAAATTAGATAATAGGCTAATTGTAATAGGTTAAGCGACCGTGCTAGAACCACGGAACTCGGGAATGCCTAACACCTTCTCCCGGGTTAACAGAATTCCTTACTTAGAATTTCTGGTTCGCAGACTTCAAAAGAAAAGTCAAATTTTCCTCAATTTGGGATTTAAAATAAACCGGTGACTTGGGACACCAATAAATATTCCAAGTGGCGACTCTGAGAAATTAAATAAAATAATCTCATTTCGAATAATGTCACTTAAAGTGGGAAAACTCCCTTGTACTACCTTTCGGGTGTGTAAAAAGGAGGTGTGACACACGTGCATATAAATGGCGTGCCATGCATAGGTATAGGTGTACATAATATCATCAAGCCTCTGAGGGCATCCCATCATATCATCTTGGCCACTGTGGGCAACATCATCAACATATACCAGCTAATCAGGTGGTGGTGCATATATAACGTTGTAGCCTTTTCCCATATCTCATATACACACACACACACACACATATATATATATATATATATATACATATAAACACACGTAGATAATGTCATCTGGTCATGGGTCAATATACGTGTATAAATGAATGAAATGTATGAAAATATGTTAATAATCTCAATATTCCTTTTGGATAAACCTTATCAACTGTATATTATTTTAAGACCTATGAACAGAAGATATAATAATATGTCACACGGGAATCAAGAACATAGAGACCCCTAGTACTTCTATGAATATAGTCGTTTATGAAAATCGTGCATTTGCTCATTTCTTTTGTATAACTTGGATTATGCTAAAAAGAAAGAAGGGATGGCCTTAACATACCTGAGTCGATTCTCTTGAGAAAGATTACACCGTACTCCGTTAATATTGCAAAATCTCACGTTAATTTGAAAGCTTGAGCGCAACTTATATGTTATATAATATGCATTTGCATATTAGAAGGTTTGAACGTGCTTTCTATGTAAGAGAATCTTGCTGGACTATTAAGTTGAAACATAATTTTCCTAAAATTTGATGGACTCTTTCAGAAGAGGTGTAGTGAATGAATTCTAATTTTTGAGATTGTTATCTTTAGTTTAGGTGGGTTCCTCATTGAAAGATTGGTGTCACCTTAAGGTGTGACACCTTTCCCATTCTCATTATTAGTCATCAAGAGAGCTTAGGAAGCTTGCCACATTGGGGGGGGGGGG